AATAAATACATTTTTATGCATAGTGTTGTGGAATTGGTGTAGCACATTTGCAAACAATGACACAGCATCCCCAATTAGGGCTAAAATTAAATGCTTGGCCAATTTTTGGTTGAATGCCTCTCCTCTCCTTCTTCCACTTTTGTATCCCCACCTCGAAAAATTATTGTACGCGGTTCTAACAATATCGCTGGCTAGATATATATTCATGGTACTTTAATAATTTCTCTCATAAATTTATAAAACTGTCAGTTACACTGTAGCAGCCTCCTCCAATCATTTTTCGAAAAATATATTTGGCTCTTCAATAATAAAGAGTAATTTTATCCTTACCAACATTAAATATTTGACAACTCATCATTTTTTTAAAAACATTTTTTTTTTTTTGCATTTCTCTCACTTAATCGTCACATATTTAATGACGATAAAGACAAGATTCCTTCTTACGGGTGAGGAGCTAAATATTTTCCTAATTTTTCACCCACCCCATTAATAAATTTTTTTATAAAATAATTATTGGTTTCTAAAAAATATATTTTCATGCAAAGATTATTTTCAAAGAAAAATAGTGCATGCCGAGGTGTAACCATTTTCACTCTCTAACCATGGGCGCGAAAGGGAAACTGGAAAATAGAGTAAATACCTTGGATTAAAAATTACACACCATCTTTTTTTTCTTAATTCAGAAAATGAAATACAATATTGTAAAAGGGGAAATAGTTCAAAAAAAAAATCAAGAAAAAAAAGAAATTAGAAACTCAAACTCAGGTAAACGTTCTTGCATCCCAAACTCAGGCTACCAAATCTCACGCTCCAGCTTAACACAAGCTTCTCAATCCGAGATATCACAACATTCCAAAATTTAACAACAGACTTAACATTCCAAGGTTACTGATATCGCACACCTACGATCCAAACACCCTCTAGCAATTAACTTAATACTAGTTTCTTTTTTATTATTTTATTTTGATAGGTTCATACCATATATATATATATATATATATATATATAAAACGTAACCCTTAAACCACAAGCATGTTTTATTTACTTGAAAGAGAGAATGAAGATGGTTAATTACTCAATTTTAAAATTGTCTGATGTCTTGTTGAAAGTCTGACAATCAAATTTAGCAGCCGATTGAGAATGGGCTTTGGATTTAGGGAGGTTCAGGGTTAATTAATATTCATACCTTATTTAAAAATTTTAATAAAATTATTTTAACATGTCTATCTTGATCTATGCCCTTTCAATCTTTGGGAGAGTATTTTGAATTAATAATCTTTTGGTCAAAGACATATACCAATTATCATTGAGTCACGGTCATAATCAAAATAATATTTAAATCATATAAAAACTTAATAGAATAATAATTATAGATTTGCTAAAGTGAGTATAGTTCGATGATAATTGACATATATCTTCAATCAATAGGTTATGAGTTCGATCTCCCACTCCCACATGTTGAAGGTCCAATTTTAAGATGACACTTTACCCAGATGATATATATTTTTAATATATATTACTATTGATATACGCATGTGATATACCTCTCATATGAGTATCTGTACAATATATATGTAATATACCTCTACTGTATTACTGATATGAATTTCTGATATACTATTTATATATAAGTGAAAATTTTTATTATATTTAAAAATTTAAAAATAAATGACATATTTTGAAATACATGCAATATTTTTGTTAGGAAAAAGAAAACAGAAGAGTGGATAGGATGAGTACACTGTACCATAAATTCTCTCGAAATTTCTACAGTTGTTTTTTCTTTTGCTTTTTTTTTTCGGACAAGGTTTCAATTGGTATTTTATATAAAATTATTTAAAAATTAAATATAATAAGGAAACAAAAGGATGATTGACTGATTGCAACTGTTTAATCATTTGTACGTCCCTTTATAGTTAAATTGACTAAAATATCCTTTTCTTTGTATGTATACTTTTCTTAAAATTTTTAAATATTTTATTTAAATTTTAAATTTTGTGTGAATGTACGAAGAAATATTTAAAGTTAACAAGCCTAAGCGATGGGTTTCATCTTTCAAAATCTATTTAAATTTGTTGTTAATAATTAAAAAATTAGTGAAAGATGTAAAGCAATTTTTTTATGTAAAGTTTAGAATTAAAATATAACATTAAAAACTTGAGACGCTAATATGAAATATTTATAAATTTAAATACATTTAAAATAATATAACTTAACTTTCCTTGGCGTCCTTTAGGAAGTGGTTGGGTGAAAAAGAAGGTGCTAATAAATAATTTTCATATGAGTTTGATCGTTAGTTGGCAAAATATTATAAGATTTAATGATGTGACGTAGACTTATTTATTATTCTACGAATATTGGATACTGTTTTACTTGATCTATATATTTTCATTGTTTAATTAGACCATGTTGGATAATCAATGAAGATAAGTTACTAAAACTTCAATATAATTCTGCTGGTTAAAAACACGAGTCGTATTTTACTACTGAGGTCACAACCGTGTACAACAAATATGAAAGTGAGGGATTGAACCTCTGACTTCTAAGAAAAGAACAAAGTACTTTAGAACTCGTTTGATAATGTTCCTGTTTCTTGTTTGTCGTTTCCAATTTTCTTAAGAAATTTAGCATTTTATAACTAACTATGTTTCTTGTTTCTCATTTTTTGGGAACATTCTTGTATAAAATTTTTTAAAACAATCAAAAYAGATTTATTCCTTCTTGTTTTAATTTTCAATTTGTTTTAAAACATAAATAAAAAGACTGTTTTATCATACTTGAATTATTTGATATTTGAGCCATACAATTTATTTTTCTTCATTAAAAATAAAGAAACAGAAACGTTAYCAAATGAGTCATTTATTAAATGCTGAGCTAAACTCAGTTGATGTTTGATGTGTTATTATTATTGTTTTTTAATGAGTTCGAATATTTTAGGGTCAGTTTCGACATTTATGTGGTTGGACTTCAAATATTTCATTCATGGAACTTTTATGGATAATGGTAGGTTCTCTGGTCATTTTCTTATTGGATTTGGAGGGGAGATATTAATTTCATCACTTTTAAAGGAATGGAATTTCCATGGCTTTATTTGTAAGCAAGGCATGACCCATTACCATGGAGGTTATGATTAATCCACTAAATGCTCCCTTTTATTTAGGAATTATTGGTAGAGAGGACTATTTCTCTATCTTGGGAGTTTTGGTATTGAAAACTCAAAAGAAAGAATTATGAGTTGTGAAGTAAAATGACATATTGGTAGGATCATAATGCCAATGATTTGGAATAGTTTTTGTGTGTTGATGAATGGTCCCCTTTGCCCTTCTTTATACCTCCATTTGTCTTTTCCTCCCCTCCCATTGTGTTAATTTACTCTCTCTTTCTATGGATTCTATACCCTTTATTCCCCTTTTCATCCCTTTTCCTATTTCTCTTCTTTTCCAACCATGCCCATGCTACTATTCATTTTGAGTTTATTTCTTTTCCATCCCCTACGTAATTTAAAAAAAAAGACAACTATTTCGGTCAATATTGTTATTTTGCTGTTAATTGATTAACGAATGGATAACGCAATTTGTTGTACAGTATTGGAGTCAATGCCATATAGATTGGCTARGAGGGTCTTGGATGGGTAGATCATATTAAACAGTTGAATAATAATAATGACTAAAACGTTCATTTGTTTAAAAATTTAGAGATTAAAACAGACATTTTAAAAGTTAGTAATTTATCAAATCTAAGAAAAGAAAAAAAATTCGATTGATATTCGAAATTTAGTTTGAATTGTTAGAAAGTTTCATGGCGAGCGAGTTTTGAATAGCGTTCCTAAGGTACAATTTTATGGTCTATATGGTTGAAAAATATTTTAAAAGATCATTAGGATCTTCCAAAAGGAAAAAAAAAAGTTTGTGTGATTTGTGAAGCTTGGTTGGACATGGGAGTTGGGTGTTGAAAAGTCACTTTGTTTTTATGAGCAAAATTGATTGGATCTTGGGATATTAGTTGGTGATGCAAGTTTCTAGCCATGTTTATTTTTAAAATGTTTGTTTGTTTCAATGGATATTTTATGAACTAGAATCTTAATTTATATTCTTTATACCACCAACTACTATTATTAAATTGGTTAGTATGATATATATAATTTTTAATATATGAACTAGTCCTTTTCAATTAGGTTCTTTTTTAACTAATCTTGGTTGACAGTTAGGCTCGTGGATGTACAAATTATTCTTTATATCAATTAGTCACTATCACCAGTTAGCTAGTGTGCTAACGTAAAGATGTTAATATCAATGTCAAAAATTTGAAGGGTCAAACATTAAAACTTTTTGTAGTGCAATAATTGGAATGAGAAATTTGACGTTGCATATATTTTGCCAACCAAATATAACTTAACGATGCATTTACATTTTATTAGAATTAAAAAATAGTGAATTCAAATTCTCTCCCTATACTGTACCTTTATATATATATATTTTAGTTGAATAAATTAAAATTAAGTATATTGTTCAAATTATTTCCCAAAATTAAGTATTAAATCAATTCGAAATGATTTGGACTATAAATAATATAACCGATCCAAGAAAAAAAAATAAAAACTTTGCCTTTTTTTTAATTCCCTTTTTTGGGAGTTTAACAGAAAACTTTTGAATTCTAAACGCTAGAGTAACGGAAATTGGCGAAAAAATTATGGAAATTTAAAACATGGTCCACCAATATAATGACTCAATTAAATCACCCAAAAAAAATGGCGAAAAGGGGTATTTTGGGAATTCTGAGTTGCGTAGGCCAAGAAAATCTGAGGGGCGGTAACGGTGGTAGACGCCAAAATTTTCTCTCGAACCAAACACCCTATTCCTCTCTTTTCTCGCCCATTGTCCTGCAGTGGATTGGATTGGACTGGAACAGTCCTTTAGACCCAAGAATATTTTGATTAAAACCCAAAATTACCCATCTCATCAAAATCAAATCCCACAAAAGAAAAAGTTGGAAAAAGAAAAAGAAGAAAACAAAGCAAAGGAAATCGAATTACAACTCAGAATTGGGAATTCTCTTCTTCTTCTTCTTCTTCATCGTCACTGTAATTTCCAATCCCCAAAATTGAATTCCATGGAGTTTTTAAATGGGTTTTAATGGCGTTCCTCAAAAAGTATTCCAAGATATAATCTTTTATTTTTATACCCACACCGACGCACAAACAAAAAGTACTCTCACTACTCACTCTCTAACAAAGCTCTTCTCTCTCTACTTTCACTGGTAGAAGCGGCGACTGACGACAAACTCCGCGCTGGCAAAAGATTCCTTCACCGCCATCTCCTTTTCTTCTTCTCTAACCCTAATTAGAATTTTTCCTCACTGACCCAGCTGAAGAAAAAGAGGGAAAAGATTAAAGTTTAAAGGAAATTTGTGGGATGGGTTTGTTTTTCTTCATCTTCTGGTGAAACCCAGTTCAGGGTAATCGCTGGTTTGTTCTGTAATGGGGTGTTCCAGCTCCAAGGTCGATGACCTCCCCGCCGTGGCGCTCTGTCGCAAGCGCTGTGCCTTTCTTGACGAAGCGATTCATCTCAGGTACTCTTTGGCGGAGGCTCACATGGCGTATATTCATTCCCTTAAAGGGATTGGCCATTCTTTGCATAATTTCATTGAAGAGAGTGTTGGGGTTTCTCCTGGGTCTCCTCTTTCGCCGAAGCTTAATCTTCCTCCTCACCGGAAGGGCGATCCCGTTGGGAATGGTGCATCGGCAATTGAAGAATCTGCCTCTCCGCCTCACCATCTCTCTCACTCTAATTCCGGCTCCCACCTCCAGTTTCACTCCGATTCCGATGATGATTCCGGCTCTCTTCACCATTCTGGCAACTCCTCCCCTTTCCACGGCGGTCATATGGGTTATATGC